TTATTATATATATATATATATATATATATATATATATATATATATATATATATATATATATATATATATATATATATATATATATATATATATATATATATATATTATATTAACAAGAAAGAAAGAAATAGTGAGGGAAATGTATAAAAAAGAAGAAAAAGATTAAACGGCTCAGCCCTCAACAACTCGTAACCGTATACACCAGTGTACACCAGTGCAGACACGCACACTCACACCTACACTAGTGTACACTGATGTAACTGCCTTCAGGCTTCATCAGTACGGTAAGTACGGTAATCAGTACGGTAATACACTGGTGTATACGATTACGAGTTGTTGAGGGCTGAGCCGTTTAATCTTTTTCTTCTTTTTTATACATTTTCCTCACTATTTCTTTCTTATTCATATTGGTCCACGGCTAATGGTATTGCGGCGGGTTGCTGTTGGCTACCTCCGCGGCTGTTCTGGACGAAGCCCGCAATCCTGGTTCTTGGCTGCAAATTGGGGCTTTAGGCTCCCGTTTACTCGCTTCGCGAAATATTTCACAAAATATTTTCAGAAATATTTCGTGAAACATTTCGGGCATAGTGTAGAGGATGTTTAAAATACTTTAATCACAAAAAATGTTGATTTTTTAGTTCTCTATCTAACACAAAAAAAACAATATATAGGGCCTTCCCTTTAAAAAAATGCAAAGAAAAATTATTTTATATTTTAGAAAGGTATAAGGCATGGAATTGTGAATATCCCGTATGATTTAAGGTTAAGATATTTATATATTTATAATATAGTAAGTACAGTCCAACTATAGTAAATACCTAGCATAATGTTTATTTCAGGATATAATATTATGTTTTTTATATAATTTTTTAAAAAGCTGGAAAAAAAAAAAAAATATATATATATATATATATATATATATATATATATATATATATATATATATATATATATATATATATATATATATATATATATATATATATATATATATATATATATATATATATATATATATATATATATATATATATATATATATATATATATATATATATATATATATATATATATATATATATATATATATATATATATATATATATATATATATATATAGAAGAAGTTATAGACAAGCCGTGATTTTGTTTGTTTTTTATTGATATTGGTATTGCCTCGGGAAATGTTTCGAGAAACGTTTCCATCAGTTTCGACAAAACTTTTATATCACGCCTCTATATTCTTCGTACTACCTCGCGAAGCAATTAAGGTCAAACTTTGTGGTGGCTTCAAAAAAAAACACAAACTTTCAAATGTTTTTATGTAACATTTTCATGAATATAAATAATTTTTACGAATTTCTTGGTTAATTTTAGGCAGGTAGTTGTCACATTAAAACGTCCGAAATACGTATAATCTAGTTCCTGCCACCATATTGTTTTTCACAGGAAACGCCCGAATGTCGGATGCCCGAGAACTAGGCTTTAGTTTCACGTTAATGTCATTTAGTTGCTATTTACCCAAGTTCGTCCTTGATTTCGCTTGTCTTCGTATTTTGCCTTTTGTATGCGTTTTCTTACTGGTTGTAATAAGTTTATATTGTTCGAGTCACTTTTCATATAGCAACTAAGATGTGATCTTAACAATATGCACTGGTCCAAAACAAATCCACACTGGATGCAAGTAATCCAGAACTAAGACCGTTGGTCGGTAAATGTTTGGGCTGAGATTCTAGGAGGGCGAATTATTGGAGTTTATTGCAGTTATGGGCGAATTATTAAGTTTTTTAACTATCTGAATGGTATGAACTATCCACAATTTCTAAGATTGGAATTTCTAGGAATTGCCAATATTTATTATAGGAACCATCATGCTGAAATGGCATTTGTTTCCATTTCAGCATGATGGCTCAGTTGGTGGAGTTGTGCGGCTTATTTTGCTATTAATGTATCGGGCTTCTTGGGTACCATCTACTTTAGTAGATGTATAGGCTGGGATGGTATATTTCCATGACCAGCTAGGTCACCGGATTTAACATGCCTGTATTTTTATTTATAAGGTCGCATCAAGAACGAACATGGATAAATAACAGCTAAATGGCATTAACATGAAACTATACTAAAAACGTTTTAGTATTTTGATCTTATCTATTGATCTATATTCGCTTTTATTTGTAATTAAACGTTGTCAGTATTTCCTTTATATAAATTAATGTTTTCTACTACCACAAAAGGTTTGTAATTTGTAGTTAGGAATGGAGTATGTAATTAATATTGAGTAATCTGTATTTTTTTAATAAAAATATTTTTTTTATTCTATAATCACAGTGATTTTTTCTTATTTATTGCTCGTTTCCTAAAAGGATGCATCTAAACGTTGTGGATAAATAAGACGTTTTAGCAACTTTACTACGATCACCAACCGTTTATAATTTGTGGTTAGAAATGTAGGACATAGTGTTAATAGATGAGTACCATAGATAAATAACTATTTTTTTATAAAATACAAGTTAAATAAACGTTGCATATGAAGAAGATACGTTAGACATTTTAGTTCTAAAACATCTTTTACATATGAATTGCACTTCGGGAAGACCCGATCTTCATAGCGCACTGTTTTGTTAGGCAGTCTGCTATAATACAAATATGCACCCGGTAGACTCTAGACTAGGTAGAACTAAATAACTAGTCTAGTTTTGATCCCAGGGTATTTCTTGTATTTTTAATAATTCTTTTAAGCAAGGCTGAAAATATATTTTTTTATTTGTTTATTAATATCTGTGAAACTATCAAAACAAATTTAAAATATCTTGTATGTAAACTGATCAGAAAGGAAGCCAAAAATGCAATAATATAAAGGGTTCCATTAAGAAAAAACCTTCCCGCTCCATTGACACTTTTTTGAGTCACCCTGTAGAAGTTAAAATATTTTCCAGAAATACATCCAAGTACATACTTTAGGTTTGCACTTAAACAACATTCCTAAGTTTTTTATTATAGCTACAGATGCCCGACGCACTGTTGTGGGACCCTGTGTGGGAAAATAATTGACTAATCTTCAGGGTAGCACTTCTTATACGATGCGGAGGCTCGAAGGAGAACGACAATGGCATTTGTCGTTCTTTAATAATGGCATTTATCATTCGTAATTAGGAGTATCAGTACTTTCAATTGACTTCGGAAACACTATACTTTAAATCAAATTAAAACTCGACCCAAAAAGTTATACAGGGTGAGACAAAATTAATATTGGACATTGGTCACCTTTAAAACCAAGTTACTCTTTTATTTTAAATTGAACATCCAGTATATTATTCCGATATTCAGTAGCTTTGTTCGGGTTCTTGTTATTACCGATTCTGAACCGTCCTAGAACTCTGCAGCGCATGCACAAATGAAATAATGTCTTCATATTTCCTTCTGCGCATACGCATCACAGTTCTAGGACGGTTCAGAATCGGTAATGAGAGAAACCCGAAGTAAGCTAGTGGAGAATGCATGTCTCTTCAAAATACTTTAAGGTTGCTTACCCCTCGAACAAAGATTTTCCGAGATATTTTAATTTATATGATTTAGTATCGGTAGATCTTTATTATTTGATAAAATCTAGATGGCTGTGACACAGATTAAGTATTATACAGATATGACACTTATTTCAATTTGCTGATAAACGCCGCCGTGACCTCGGACCTTTAGTAGGGCTATGGCGTTGTCAGACTTCTTTTTTTTTCTCGAATGCATTGTTGCCTTTTGTAAAAAATGTATCCGCAATTGAAATCTGTGGCACAGTTTTTTTTATAGCGATTCATCAACGCATGCGAATGATGAACCGAATGCACCTTTGTTTTAATTATGTTTCTCTGTCTTACTGACAAATCTGTGTTAATTTGTGATATGCATCACGTTACTTCAACGTACCTGTCAAATTAGTTCAACTTTAACAACTAGTAAGTAAAACTAATTTTTATCAGATAATTATACGTTTATATCTAATTTTAACTCTGTAATAATTAAAATATGTTTTAAAAGTGTATTTTTTTAGTATCGTTAATTTTTTACTCTACAACCTTTAATTTTTGTTAAATTAACAAAAGATATATCACAGCCACCTAGAATTTATCAAACAATGAAGACCTGCTGACGCAAAATCATATAAATGAAATTATCTAGGAAGATCTTTTTCTAAGGGGTAGGCAACCTTAAGAATATTTTGAAGATATAAAATTCTCCATTGAATATCGGAATAATATACTGGGTGTTCCATTTAAAATACCGTAGTAACTTTTTTTAAAAGTAACCAATGTTCAATATTAATTTGTCTCACCCTGTATAACTTTTCGGGTCAAATTTTAATTTGGTTTATCATACAATGGTTATTTTAATTAAATATCAGGCCATACAGGGTAAATTACAATATAGGTAGCTGTTATTGAAATTAAAAGTTTATTCCTCTTTTTCACAAAATTTGAAATACATATGTCAAAAACCTTACATTTTAGACATATGCTTCTTTAATGAAACTCACCTTTATTTGCTTCCTAGAATCCGAAAATCAATTAATATATATGGTCTTCCATTACAAAAAAAAACAATATTGCAATTTTTTTTTGGGGTGGGGGCACACTGTAGAACTCTATATATTTTTATAAAGTGCTTTCAATTAAACTACATATATGCTCCCAAAATTTTATTTTGATATAAACTACCGTTCTACTTGGAGCCCTCGCGTCATATGAGAGGCGCCGCGCCACCCTGCATATTGGGAAAACTTAATGAGAACTCTACACATTTTACAAAATTGGGATTTTAAATGTATTTTGAATTTTTAAAGCATATTAATTAACTGATTTTACCACTTTATTTGTTCTGTCCAAGAAAATAATTATATGCGAAATAGATTTTAGTTTGAACTGATTACTAATCGGTGTTTAATCATTTTTGTCATCTTAGCTTATTAACTTATTTACATATTAACATAATAATTTTTCATTCACCAACAAGACTGAATATGAAATAGAAGAAAGTGAAGATCCATATCCAAGGGAGGAGATATCAGAAGAAAGTAGAGAATATTCACCCCCACAGCCGGTAAGGTTATTTAATAGTCATTATTTTTCGCAATCTTTATAAGAACATTAAAAAAATCTTAAAGAAGGTTACGTAAAGTTTTCCAAGGTTTCTTAAAGCAATTATAAAAAAATCAATTTAATTTAATCACATTTAAGCTACACGCACACTAGTGCGATTATGGCCGCGATCACGATCAGGGCAGCGATAACATGAGCGATAATTCTAGTACACACCAACGCGTTCACGTTTACCGCCGTACCTATGTAGTGTGCCACCCTGTAGGTATACATAGGTACAAATTAAAAATGTGAATTATGTATACCAAAGAAAAACATTCTTAAGTATTTACGTACCGGGTGTCCCACTAAAAATAGCTCTCGGCTGTATCTCGAAAAGTATTAGCCGTAGGGCTTACGGAAAAAAATATTTATAACTCAAGGGGCTATGAGAAATTGCTGGAAATTATTTTCAAGTTTGTCAAACGGCCGCTAGGTGGCGCAACTGCTATGAAAAATAAGAAAATAGATTTTTTACAGAATTTTGCCTAGATAATGGGTACTATAAATAATAACTTCATAATCTTCAGTAAATTATGGATTTTCTTTGTTAGAACCATTTTCCCCTATCTGCTAAAATAAAGTGGCGGGGGAAGGTTAGATCAATATTTATTTAAATGTTAAGAACTCCGGACGGGATGATCAGAATCTAACAAACGAGGGCTCGTTTAAAAGAGCGTTTCTTACTCTATATTATACCATAAAAATATTAATAATAAGATTTTGAACGTAGACGCTAGGGGGCGCTTTCTTACAATTTAACAAACATAGCACGTTTTTTCAAAAAAATTAAATATTGTCAAGAAAAATGGCGCATCCGCCAGAAATTAAAAATGTATTACTGGTTGCCTGCACAACCGCAACGTATCCGCCAGAAATTAAAAGACTTTTTCAGGCGCCATCTTTTAGTCAAGTCGAGAAGTAAGGGAATCAGACAATAGAATTGTCTGGTATGAAGAAGTACGCTTTCCGAGAATTGGGGAAATTTCGAGAAGCAGTCAATAGAGTATATAAGCCGGAGCCATCGACAACTGAGACAGTTTTTGAAATTTGAATATACCGCGTGGAAATTGAAAATCGGACAATTTGGTGAAGGAATCTTATAAATAGTTAGTTTGTTGTGTGTTATAAGTTAGTAATTGTGTATAAAGTGAGAAAATAAATTCGTTAAGTATTTTATCGTGAGTTTAAATAGTGGACCCACGGAATCCGTAACAATTGGTGTCGGAAGTGCGATTCAAGAGGATTTTAAGAAGAAATTAAGTGGATTGGAAGATTTTTAGACCGAATCAGAGTATTTTTATGGTTGGTACAAGGGAGCAAGCGAAGAAAATGGAGGAAGTAAGCAAATTATTGGGCGATTTTATGGAGAATATGAGAAGAGAGAAAGAAGAGGAACAAGACCGCCTACAGAAAATACTTATGGAAAATCAAGAAAAAATGTTAGAAGGTTTAGAAGCGCGTCAAAAGAAAGAAAAACAAGAAGAACAGGACCGGCTTGAGAAAATAATAGGAAATTTGGAAATTCGTTTGGAGGAGCGACGTCATAGAGAAAGACAAGAAGAACAGGACCGTGTTCAGAAAATTCTAGAAAATCAAGAAATTAGACAAGAACGGTTGGAGAAAATTGTTGAAGATTTAGAAGTACGTCGCCAGAAGGACAAAATTGAAGATCAAGACCGCATGCAGAAAAGTCTCGAAAATTCGGAACGAAGACAAGAGGCCCACTTCCAAGAAGTCGTAGAAGATCTGGAGGAGCGCCTTCAACAGAAAATGGAAAAATTAGAGATGGACATACAGAAGACCAAGGCACATGCAAGGACACCTGGCGTTCCTGGGACTGCGAACCTCAAGGCCCCCACCTACGATGGACAAACCACCTGGACGATGTACCACCGCCAGTTTGAAGCAGCCGCCGCTGCCAACGGATGGACCGACCAGGATAAAGCAGCGGCACTTGTCATCGCGCTGCGTGGCCCTGCCCTGGAACTGCTACAAACTATTCCTGCAGCCCAACAGCAGGAGTATGAGGCTTTGGTTGCTGCATTGGACAGAAGATATGGCGACCAACATCGACGTCAACTTTACCAGGCCCAGATCAAGACGCGCCTGCAGAGGTCCGGAGAGAGTCTGCAGGAATTTGAAGCAGACTTACGTCGGCTGGTACACCTAGCATACCCAGAAGCACCGGAAGGGTTTAGGGAGGAACTCGCTGCTCAGTGCTTTATTAGCGGACTGAGGGACAACGAATTGCAGAGGGCGCTGCAAATATCCCGATTTTCCACCAGCAGCGAAGCACTGGTCAGGGCGCTGGAAATCGAAGCTGCCTTTAGCGCCATCCCTAGGCCGAAGATAAGATCGGTAACGGTCGAGGAACAGCCCGAAAGCACTCACAGAGGTTTGGAGGAGATGTGTAAGAAAGTCGACAAACTATGTGAGCTACTAATAAACAGGGGAGTCAACAACACCCAGACAGAGAACCAGAGAAGATTCAGGACATAAGGTGCTTTAGATGTGGCAGGAATGGCCACATTAAACAGATTGCCGCGTTCAAATGCGATCCCGTTCACCATCCAGAGAACGTAGGCACCAGGAAAACTAAAATCAGTCAATACTAAGGGGCGAGTATTGACTGGGGAGAACAGAGCCCCCAGGATTTTTTCCATTAGAAGTCTAGGAAGAACCGCTGACAGTTTGGTGATCGACGGGAAAGTCAATGGAAAGGGAATCCGAATGACAGTGGACACTGGCGCTATGGTATCGTTGGTGCGGGCTAACTCAGTGCAAGGATTGAAGCTGATGCCTCTGAGAAGAAGAGTGTGTTTACGTACAGTTACGGGGGAAATGGCCGTTGTACGGGGAGAGGCTATCGTCGAACTGAAGTTAGGAAATTTGAAGTTCCAGCATAGCGTTTTAGTGGCAGATATTGAAGATGACTTCATCTTGGGCATGGATGTGATTCGTCAACATGGATTTTCGTTCGATCACCAGAGAAATATCCTGAATATCGGAAATGAAGAGTTTATGTTATCTCCAGACGAGGGACCAGGAAGAATGGATGTAAGATCAGCGGAAACTGTGGTGATACCTGGTAATACCGAGAAGATCGTATTCGGTAAAGTGGAGAAAATCGCTGGGTGCTGTGTTGGACTGGTACAAAGTAGCGACAACAAACAAGATAGGTACTTAGTAGGAAAGTCATTGGTGAACACTGATAAGAATATACCGATCAGAATTGCGAATGTTTTCCCGAATTGTGTCAAGATTCAAAAAGGTGACAAGATAGCCATCTGCGAACCTGTAAGAAGTGTCACCCGATGTGATGAAGTGTCGTCAGCTGTTACACAAAAGGCATCCCAAGAAACACTAAAACATCTAGAACAGCCATGGGATCACCTAACACCTGAGGAGAAACAGAAGGCTAAGCAGTTCCTGCTAAAGCATGGCAGTATTTTTGAGAAGAACAGTGGAAGAACGGATTTTGTGAAGCACCGGATTAATACTGGTCATGCTCAGCCGATTCGACAACGTCCTAGAAGGGTGCCCCTTTCCAAACAACAAGAAATGGAGACAATGGTAGATAAGATGCTAGAAGATGGAGTTATCGAAGAATCATCGAGTCCATGGTCATCTCCTGTTGTTTTGGTGACGAAGAAAGATGGTAGTACACGATTCTGCGTGGACTATCGGAAGCTCAATGACGTCACTAAGAAGGACAGCTACCCACTGCCACGTATAGACGACACGTTAACCACACTGGCAGGTTCGTGCTGGTTCTCCACTCTCGACTTAAAGAGTGGATACTGGCAAGTTGGTCTGGACGAGGAAGACAAAGAAAAGACGGCTTTTTCTACAGGAAACGGACTATACCAATTCAAGGTCATGCCGTTTGGATTATGCAATGCTCCAGCCACTTTCGAACGTCTCATGGAGGTGGTGTTAAGAGGATTAACTTGGAAAACGTGCTTGGTTTACCTCGACGATGTATTGGTTATGGGAAGAACTTTTGAGGAGCATTTGCGAAATTTAGAAGAAGTCTTTGGCCGCATACGGAATGCTCACCTGTACTTGAACCCGAAGAAGTGTAGCTTATTCCAGCGACAAGTGGAATTCTTGGGTCATGTAGTCTCGGCAGACGGAATTTACACCGACCAGAAGAAAATCGCTGCGATCAAGGATTGGCCTAAACTCGCGACAAACATGAACTTAGAAGTTTTCTGGGTTTATGCACCTATTACAGAAGATTTGTCAAGGGATTTGCCAATATAGCTGCACCCTTACATAGACTTACAGGTGATGAAGTCGGCTACGAATGGAACACCGATTGTGATGTAGCCTTTGGAAGACTTAAGGCGGCTTTATGTTCAAGTCCTATTCTAGCCTACCCGCAACAACAAGGGAGGTATATCCTGGATACCGACGCCAGCAATATCGGCATAGGTGCAGTGCTATCACAAGTGCAAGATGGCGAAGAACGAGTGATAGAATATTACAGTCGAGTTCTATCCAAACCAGAAAGGAATTACTGCGTTACCCGGAAGGAGCTGCTAGCAATTGTGAAGGCAGTTGATCATTTTCATAAATATCTGTACGGCCAAGAATTTTTAATTAGGACAGATCATGCGGCTCTCAAGTGGCTTATGGAGATGAAACAACCTGAAGGTCAAATAGCACGATGGCTCGAGAAGCTCCAACAGTATCACTTTACCATCCAACATCGTGCTGGAAAAATGCATGGTAACGCAGACGGTTTATCCAGAAGACCCTGTCAAACCGATTGTAAGCACTGCTGTAAAACGGAACAACGTGAAGGCACTGTCATGATAAGGAGTTTAAACTTGGAACCGATGAACAGTGGACGACGACACAATTGAGGAAAGATCAAATGGAAGATCCAGACATCGGAGCAATACTACGGCTCAAGGAAGGTAACGGCGAGAGACCACCGTGGCAGGATATTGCGGACAGAGGGCTCGTTTTCAAAGCTCTCTGGGCTCAGTGGAA